ATTACCGTTAATTACCGAGCTTCAAGATAAGCTACGGACGGCAAAATACTTCACTAAACTCGACCTTCGAGAAGGCTACTATTTAGTACGCATAAAGGAAGGGGAAGAATAGAAAACCGCGTTTAGGACACGTCTAGGATATTACGAGTACACAGTTATACCTTTCGGTCTTACGAACGCCCCAGGAACGTTTTAAAGTCTAGTCAACGATACGTTACGCGACTATTTGGACGTCTTCTATATAGCTTACCTAGATAATATACTCATCTATTCGGAAACCCTAGAAGAGCATAAAAAACACGTTAGGAAAGTATTCCAGGCACTATAAGGCAAAGACCTGCAAGTCGCACTAGAAAAGTACGAATAGCACGTCCAAAGGACGGAATTTCTAGGCTTTATCATCTCACCAGGACACGTAGAGATAGACGAAAAGAAGCTAGATACTATACGAGACTAGCTAGTACCCAGAACCGTTAAAGAAGTGCAGTCCTTCCTTAGATTTACTAACTTTTACCGGAAATTTATCTAGAAATACGCCGAAGTCTCAGAACCCCTCACGAGACTCGTACGAAAAGAGCACGGATTCAACTAGGGAGAAGCTTAACAAATCGCCTTCGATTCGCTAAAACGGATGTTTTATAAAGCTCCCGTTCTTAGGATCTACAATCCGGAACTGCCAATCGTTATCGAAACAGACGCTTCTAATTACGCTATTAGAGCTTATATCAGTCAGCCAGACGAATAAGGAAAACTCCACCCTATCGCGTATTACTCACGAAAGATAACCCCGCCGGAGCTAAATTACGATGTCTATAACAAGGAACTCCTAGCCATTGTTACGGCTTTCAAAGAATAGAGACACTACCTTAAAGGGGCAAAATACCAGGTTATAGTCTATTGCGATCATAAGAACCTAACTCACTTCACCACCACTAAGGAACTGACCCGAAGACAGGTCAGGTAGGCTAAAGAATTAGCGTCCTATAACATAAAGATCACCTACAGAAAGGGATTAGAGAACGCTAGAGCCGATACGTTAAGCAGGAGAGCCGATCACCTCGCAGGAAAACCCGGTATTCAGCCAGCGGTACTACAGCAAAACGAAGATAGCTCCTTAGAACCTACAAGGGCAGTCGCCCCGGTATACCGCACGGAACGATACTAGTTCGACATAGAACCAGATAGATACGTTCCAAGCAGGCAATTAGCACCGACAATCAGGCTCGAAAACAATTCCTAGCTCGAGAAAATTCGACAGGAATATAGCTACGATACGATAGCACAAGAACTTATAGATATAAAAGACGACCCGAGGGTTAGTAAAGATACAGACGGAACAATCCTATTCTTAGGATTAGTCTACGTACCAAGAATACTTAGAGAAGGCCTAGTTAAAGACATCCATAAGCCACCAGCACACGGTCACCAAGGAACCGACAAGACAATCGAACGAATCACCCGGCACTTCTACTTCCCAGGCCTTAGGAAAACAGTTCAACGAGTAATCTCGCAGTACGATCTTTACATCCGAAGCAAAGCTGCGAGACACGCTCCCCACGGACTACTACAGCCGCTCAAGGCACCTAAACGGCCATAGCAATCAATCTCGTTAGATTTTATCACGGATCTGCCACCCTCGAAGGAGCTACTTACCAGGGTAAAATACAATTCGATACTCGTCATCGTCGATAGGCTCACTAAGTACGCGTACTATCTACCTTACCTCAAGACGGCAAACGCGGAAGAGCTCGCCTACACGTTCCTCAGGACAATCCTCGGCAACCACGGGTTACCAGAAGAACTAGTATCAGATAGGGACAAACTATTTACATCCCGATTCTAGCAGACTCTCACCCGT